GAGAATTTTGGTAGGTTCACAAAACAGTAGCGTATAATTTTATAATGTAAGACAAATAAAAATAACGTTAGAAAATGTATTAAATTAGTCTAGATGAAAAAAATTGTGTGATTTATTACTAAATATAAATTGGGACAATTTGGAATCAAATGTTGTTGAATAGTCCCCGCAGTTAATAGTATGGTAGCTTTCCAAACTTCGGTGAAGTTACGAAATGTTTCAACTACGTATTGTTACGAGCAGGATATCATACTCAGATTTCGTTAAGACGTTTACTCACCTGGAAGTTGTGCATCTGGATGCTGAAACTTCGAGAGATGAGCCGTCGTTACACAGTAAACATACTTGGCAAATGAAATTGTATCAAGGCAGCTGGAGGAGAGGCGTTACCGCAGGAGGATGTCGAAATAATCAAGGTTTGATTATTCCATCACTCGTGAATCTACGTTATATATATATATATATATATCTATATCTATATATCTTAAACATTGTCATTGAGATTACAATTATATTAGCGATTCTAAACAGTTTAAAAATGAGTGCATTTTATATTACTTATTCAACCAAGTTATATAAATAATCTAACGAATATGTTTTCTTTCTCATATAGAAACTTTTCACATAAATCCACAATTACATCTGATTTTAAGTGAGATGGAAGAAGTCATCGTTTCATTAAATCAGCATTCAATTATGGAGCCGAAAGTAAGAAGTGTTTCCAAAATATCGTACATTCAATGTGTCTTTTGTTAAATTAAATTGGCTTATCAAACTTTCGCTGTCTTCAGGTAATTGGATTCACAGCATATACATTGCCGAAGAACAGTACCGAATCGATAAACAAACAGTTTTTTAAGAAGAACAAGTCCTTAGTTAATTCTCAGTATACGAATAGTCGGCAGGTGAGCCACAGGTGTCAGCTCGAGCAGGGCGGTTACCTGCTAGTACCTACGACCTTCGAGCCGACTCAAGAAACGAGTTTCACATTACGAGTCTACAGCAGTAAGCCTCTAAAACTCAAGTAGGTATATGCATTTGCTGATGTTATATACGTTTGCACGAGGCGGTACAAAGGATCGAATGATCGTCTCGGTGCATTTAATGTGCAGAATACATTAACTTACGTGAAGACATGTATACGCCCGCCTTCAACTATAGTTTTAAAATCCTTTCTTGACCATATTTCAAAGGATGCATCAAGTAATTGCCTCTTCTGAGCATACATTCTTTTGTTATGGAAACGCAATACATTGAATATTTTTTTCAGTTAAATAATTTGCTGCCTTTGTTTATCATTGATATTTGTATTTTCTTCTTTTTGCGCGTGTATGTTATTTATTAATGTGTAATATTATTATATTTTATCATTAAAATTGCTTTGTTTAAAATTTTTAAATACGTAAAATATTCACTTTTGGATTATTGCACATTAATATGTCTTGTATCCTGGAATAAAAGAGTGAACAGTAAAATTCCATTTTCTACACATTATACCATTAATGTTTCAGATTGTTAGACACTCCGCCGTCGTTAATGAAATCGGCAATTGTTAAGGCGCCTCCCCTCGAAGGAAAAGGCTTCTCTCAATACGAAGCTGTATTTCTGCAGCTCGCTGACGAGCACAGAACCGTAAACGCTTTCGAGCTGCAGGAGCTTTTAGAAGCTTGTTTACCAAATGGTATGATGCTTTTCTCTCCGTCGTAAAATACATATTTTGCTAAAAGTAGAATGCATTAAAATGTTACGCGATGTTAATTTAAATAAATGTATTTTTTTTTATTTCTAGATTATATCAAAAGCTGTGCCTGCATGGAAGTCTGTCGACAAGTAGTGCTCACTATGGATGTATCCTTTTATAATAAAAACTTTGTTTTTTTAGGCTATAATGATTTTTTAGTATTTTTTTGACCGCCATAACTGTGCAGTCTAACCGCAGACCACAGCTTTTATGTGATAATTGTTTGCAAAGTTAGAACTTTAGCTTCGTGTTCAATTTATTTAATTGACCATATACATTAATTATTTCATTATAATTTTAAATAAAATCGTCTGTTTATTCTCTCTGGTAATTTATGAGATATATAATAAGCAATTAATTTCCTTACATTTCTTACGTCTCTAAATAGAGTTCTGGAAGTGGCCGGCTGAAGTTTAATGATTTCAAAGATCTTATGTGCAGTTTAAAGTACTGGCAAGCTGCTTTTAAGAATCACACAAAGGAAAAGACGGGTATACTCAAGGCGGAGAGATTGCGAGATGCTCTACTGGAAGTTGGTACGTAAAAAGAAAATGTAATACAGTGCTTGAAATAAATATTCTATTTCGTCGTGGTTTAATGAAACCTTCTATCTCAGGTTTTCAATTAAATACGGATGTATTATCCATTTTGATCCTTCGATACATGAGGAAAGACGGTACTCTTCGATTTGGCGATTTTGTTTCGGCAATCTTACATTTGAGCGACGCATTTGGTATGTTTATTATGAGACGTTTAATTAGCTTATATAATTTGATTTATTTAAGTTCTTAAATATTTTGTATTAATTGAGTGTTTTACATTTATTTAGGAATATTCGAGAGCAAGGATCCTTTGCAAAATGGGACAATAAAGTTAAGCTTGTCGGAGGTACACAAAAATCCTGTTAATAGATTATCTTATTATTTATTTTTATGATTATGAGTCATAAGTCATTAGAAATTATACTAATTGCGGATTTTTTTTTACAGTGGCTGAGATCGTCTCTGATGTGTTAAAAATGTCAGTCAGCGTAAATCATGTACCTTGTGAATTGTCTGTAAATAACATTTTCTCTATTTCATGACGTTAGATATAAGTTTTAGCCATATTAACGATTAGTGCCCATCTATTTACACTTTGTAAAATAATATCATTGTCTTTTACATTATCACTGATCATCATTTCGTTATGTAATTATTACATATTACGATTAAGAAATTATGTATAATACGTCGTTTGTATAAGAATATCGCACGGATAATAAAGTTAAGTTTATTTTGCATAGTTCTTGTTTACTTTTTATTAGATTTTGATATATACATATCTAATCAGATTTAATAAGCTATGAGTTTTTTCGAGTAAATATAAATAACGTAATTTTTTTCGTTTAATTGGATAAAATATTAAGATTGAGAACCAAACTATTCACAATTGAAGATTATTTAATTATCAAAAGTAAACGTTTTAAACTCAAGTATATATGTTATTAAATAAAGACTATAATATGTGCATGTATATCGGAGAGGAAAGAATGTAGCAAAGTTACAATAGAAACATTTATTTATAGAATTCGTTCGAGAGATACAACGAAACTTTTGATATCCTAGAATTTATCACCTACTCCCAACGCGGCGGAGTAAGGTATAATTCGCGCAAACTGATTAATTTCTTGTCCGAGTCGACTCAACTCATACACAGTTTCACTTTTTGATCGAGGATTTCATCCTACGCGAATTATATAATAAGTGCACACGAGACACAGATAGGTGGACGGCGATATGTGAAAATTACCAGGAACAAAACTGACATAAAAGCGATTCTATCCGTAATCGATTGATTATTCCAGGCAATTTCAAATGTCCCGTCTTTAGACTTTAGATGATGCTTTGATCAAAGAGACTGCCGGGTGCGTTGTAACGATAGATTGCAATCCGGCATGCGTCGAAAAACACGTACGTTCGTTATCAACTATGTCCTGCAACATCGACATCTGTCACTGCGAGCAACATATTCGAATTGTACGTGACTCTCGAGCTGATATTCTGATAACTCTATAACTCCGAGTTTTATTGTGGGAAATTTGTGCAAAACTAGAATGTTTTTTTGCTGTATAAAATATGAGTAATTTTAATATTTCACTTTGATATGTGTAAGTTTGAGTTTTGACACTGGAAAGTCCAGAGATAGATAATTCCTTTATTAGTGTTTTTAAGTATTTAGAATTACTGCAATTCATATAAGGATTTTAGTAATTTCAAATAATTGTTAAAGTAATGTTATAATAATTGATATCTTATTATGCTATATTCATTGATTATACATACATATTTTAAATCACATTCTTGAAATATATATGGTAAAGCAACTGTAAAAAATATTTTAATGTTAAAAAATAATTTTTATATATTATTCTAAATCTAATTGGGAGATCATCTATGTGTATATATGGTCCATAAATAAAAATTCTGTAAACTACAACGAAATATTTCGAAACGATACCATTAAAAATTCTTTCTATGTAAAAATATAAATTTGAAACAATGTGAACAACTGGATAGAATCAGAACTCAAGCTCGAATAAATAAAAAAGTGTCTATAAATGCAAGAAAGAGATTTCAGAATTCTGCAAATTGTGAGCGTCATGTATGCTGCTCGTAGGAACACGATATCGATTCTTCCTTCTACAGACATTCGCTTCGTAGAGCACGTGTTTTCGTCGGTGCAATGAGGGAAAGGAAGACGTTCAAAGGTATACAGCCGGGGTTCACAGTTTCACACACATATTACGATCGTTTCCAAGAGAGGAAGACATCGAAGTTTAGAAACAGTCTCGTGCATCGGCGAAATGACGCTTTATCTTTACGCGAATATTGGATGGCGCATCGCTTATCATTTAGATATTTACATGATCATGAAGATATTTGCAGTAAGATAATATAGATCTTAAAGTAACGACCAGCCTGTTATAATTCGCTAATTTTATCAAATAGAAAAGTCTGTTTGTGTATTATGGGTAATTAACGGCGACGAACAGATATAATTATAATTTATAAATCTGTAATTTTTATAAATAAAATCGTTATATCTTTACAAACAAAATCGTTACAAAAGAAGTATGGTTCAGATTCATATCACAAAAAATTATTTTCAAATAGATTTTTTATTATTACTAATGTTTGATTTTTCTAAGTACAAAAGATTGTTACAATTTACGTTAAAAATTTGATATTTTTATGATTACTTATTGATAACACATAATTTAATAATTACTTTTTAATATAACGTGCAAATATACCTTCTTCTAAGTAAAGCATAATCGATATCCGCTGCTCGTCGCCTTTGTGAAACAGGTATCGAGGTAGGTTTATTTTGAGCTTTTGCAAATGTCGACGTTCAATTGAGCTTTCACACGAGGTTCGAAGAACTTTCGCAAGCGTACAGATCGTAGTAAACGAGATAATCGAATTTTCGCCTTGAATCCATGCTCTCGACATGACTGGTTGTCTTCCGGCCATACCCGTCTGCGTGGAACGGTCGTGCTGGCATAAGATTAATTTGCGTGTCGTCGGGCAATGCATACAGTCGATCGATCAGACTTCCGTGACCCTTTGCACGGAGTTAATATCCAGCGCACAGTTGCCAATCGTGTCCGGTGAGTCTGGAAGATATTCCTCAAGCGGTGTAATCCCAGCTGTCCTCAGATCATCCCTCACACGTTCTACCTGATGCAAAATTACTAATATTGGTGTTTCATTATATTAATATGTACTACCTTATTGATAATATTTATAATACCTTATAGAATGTTAATAATATTTTATAGAATTATTATACTATTTTTTATTTTAAGAAAATATTTAAATGATATTTTTTTGCATCATTTTTATGGATTATTATAAACTTGTGAACTGCTAGCAAATAATAATAACAATCATTGTATAATAAAAATTTATCATTTCTTTTCACGCTTGTTAAATAAAAGCGACAATTTATGTGTACGACTAAGGAAAGCTATAGTTGCGTAGTCGTGTAATGTAGCGAGTCTAGCAATACGCATTGCTACAGTAGAAATATGACGATATTAAGACCCGCAGGAGCGCCATATAAGGTACATATACAACTATATCTTAAACCTTAATCGACTCTAACCTGTGTGAGAACTCGCAGTAAATTCAAGCCGGCGACTTTCTTTAGCTCAAGCACGTCCCACTTGCCACTCCGGAGAAGTTCGGCGAATAGTTCGGGATACTTCGAAACATCTTCCAGACCACGAGGAGTTCTACGGAGAGAAAAAGAGGTTTCACACGTAATTAGAAATGCAATTTTCATGTTCTGTTTGCTAAAAAATTATGCAATATAATTTACTAAAAATTAATTTGTTCAGGTAAAGGATCAATCCTTTTACGATAGTTAACGTTGTAGAGATTGTGATAATTGAATTTTGGCTTAAGTTATCACCGAAGGAACATCGCGCATGCAAATTATTTGAGGATCAAGGCACAATGCCTGCGTGCGATATTTTCAAAGATATTATTAATTAATTTCGCACTGACTTATCTCATTTTCAACGTACTTGTTGATGCCGTCGAAATCTCCGCCGACTCCGATATAATCCACGCCAATCAGATTTCTAATATAGTAAATGTGTTCGGCCACGTCCGAAACACTGGCTTGAGGTCCGCATTTCACAAAATAATTGTAAAACGTGACCATCACTAGTCCGCCGTTATCAGCCTGGAAACAAGCACGTGAGAATGGAGCGCGTCATTCTACAGTTGCGCTATTTGAACGTGCCTCGCACCGTCGCACCAGGAATTTCAAGCCAGCTCAATGAGAGGTGTAACGCGTAATTTTCCGCTAGTGCACGGGGAAAACTATATTCTAGCCGTGCCTTTCGAAAACGAAACGTATAACCCCCGGAGCGACAGAGGGATCGATAGAATCGACGAGCGCTGGAAAGGGAGACCTCGTTATCGCGGTACCACATTCACCGTCGTCTCGGTGCCGTTAATTTTCGACCTTGATAATTCGCCTCTTAACGAGCTAGAGTGAACCGAACATTCCTTAATGGAGCACGAAACTCGACAATAGGAAGGAATCGCCGCTAGTAAATGTTTCGAGCTGCTATTGGAACTCCTGGCGCCGTTCTGGGATAATTATTTGCCCGCTGAAAGAAGATCTGAGAAGGCAGGCAGTGAAAAAGAAAAAGATTTTTATCTTCGACATCGTGTTGGTCTTTCGTATCGTTAATTGTTTACGAAGCACGAATTTTACCGCAAGAAAATCGTTTAACTCGCAACGATATTCTAACAATTATTAATGTTGTATATATAATTATTGAAATAGTTTCTGCAAAAAGGAATGCACAAAAATTTTGTTTAAATTTCTCGAAAATTATAGGATTATTATTATATAAATTATATATATATATATATATATGTATATACTGTAATTAAAGAATCCTTTTTATCTTCTAATGGGGACAATTAATGGAAAATAAGAAACAATATATTAGATGGATTTTACAAACTATAGAAAACTTCTGTATACTTACCAGTTGCTTAAGAATATCGTCGGGCACATTTCTGGAGGAATTACAAATAGCGAACGCAGAAGAGTGTGAAAAAATGAGCGGCGCTTTACTGACTCTTAGAGCATCCCTCATAGTTGCCCTCGCAGTATGGCTGAGGTCTATTAACATTCCGAGCCTATTCATTTCTTTAACTACCGTCTCGCCGAATGCTGTCAGGCCTCCGCCTGAAAAATATTGAAATCAATATTATTTTATTGTTTATGTTTTTATGGAATCTATATTAAAAAGATTATGATATAAATCTTTTAAAAGGCTATATATATATTGTATATAATATATATATATCATCTATTATTTATTAATATTATATATTAATTTTCGATAACATCTTCTGATTCTGATGAAATAGCAAAATGCTACGATAAACTGTATGTAGAAAAAAAATTTTAATACAATATTTTAATATTATACATATAGGTTTTTTTTAAAAATATGTACAGTTTCAGAAAAAAAGTTGATCAAAGATATTTTATTTATTTTAAATTTTTATTGCAATTTAATTTTTTTAACTATACTTGTGGATTCATGAATCTTTATGAGATTAAGTTCGCAAGTTTCAGCTCTGTTCATTCTGAAGAAAATGTTTATTCCAAACTTGTATCTAATTTACCATCTTCATCGTCGTCTTCCACCGACGAACTTTTCGCCCACGGAGTGTTGCAAGTGTGTGTCAGTGTAAGGTACCGTACACCCAGCTGGTAAAGTGTTCTTAAAACGGCTAAACTACTTCCTAGACTATGCCCACCCTCCACTCCAATCAGAGAAGCTATTCTGCCCCTCCCGTGAGCCTCCAAAATCTCTAGAAGTTAGAAATATAGTTGAATACAATTGTCACTCTGTCGATCGCGGTACATTATTTTCGAGTATTCCACTCCCATTACGGTTAGCTGCACTTACCTCTCGACGATGCAGCGAACTGCAAGTGCTGAGAG